ACATTAAAAGTGAAACCGTATTTTGAATGTCATATAAACATTGTAAAATATATATATTGTATTTATATAATAAATTTGATAGTAAACATTGGTATATAGCATCTTATTTAGGGGTATAGTCGCCTCGCTCCTAATGTATAATGGAATAACCACATTGTATAGTACCTCTGTATTTATTGATGTAGTTGGGGTATAATAGATTTACAATAATATAAATAATCTAATATATACTGATTAACCAGTGTAATATTTGCCTGTTGTTTTGGTAATATTAATGTGAGAGACCCAACACAATAATAATTTCAACTTACAGATTTAAGTAGAAGTATCTAAATTTGTATCATTATTATTTAATATCAATAAATTATGCATGTGATTAAACTTATTAGGGAGAAGAAAGCTAACAAAAAAAGATATTAATTGTATATTATATATAAACTTTACTATAATACCATTTCTGATAATGTACATTTATAATTCTACTATAATTTATATTCCATACTATTATATATCATAGACATACTTCACTCAAAAGGCATGGAAATATATAAGTTATTTCTTGTGTATATAAGAACAGGCGCCGATTAATATTACATCTAGCTTATTATATGTGGTATATATATTAGCTATTTATATATAACGTATATATTTAATATATACTTATATTGTATATATAAACATAATTTAATATATAAGACTTATTAAGAATTTATATATAGTTTTACATAGTATATATGTTAAAGTTCCGGCATGGTACCCGTGATAAAAACTCGAAGTGGTAGGTTACTACACAAGATATATATTGTTATTAGAAACGCGACTATGTCATGCTGTCGTCGCATGTCTCCCGAAATCAGAACATACTATGCTTCGTTTCTAAATTGATATGATCTATTCATGTATGTAGTGCACTTGATTACTCGAAAGGAACTTGTAGTCGTCTGCACTGAGTCATCGTTATTCAAACTTATGTTTGAATCAGTTGATGTTTGGAGTCAAGTCTCCCAGTTGAGACAACATGACTTAGAATATCAACTCAAGAGTCTCTTCCTCGCGCAGAGTAGAGTTTGCGTTTTAGTATCCCTCGGCCTTGGGAAGCTGCTCACGTATTTGGCTATATGAAGCTTTATATGTTGAACCTGTGTGCTAGGCAATTCCTTCAACCGTGCTCGTCCGTCGAGTCTATGCAGATAGACATTAGTAAACCTGGCAGTACTAGTCACTCAAGAAGTTGTGATATTGATCATTAGGTAGAATGTTGGCATCGGAAATGACAGTGATTAAATAAAAATTGTGCCTTTCTTTACTATCCTTTTGGTGTGCTAGATCTACTATTTTGAGAAAATTAAAATGGTGCACATGCCTTGCGGCGCCGCCCCGTTAACTGTAATCCGCAGCACTGCCTTGCCCCGTGGCCCCCATGCGCCGCCGTTGCAGGCGGATCATGATGGTCAGGAGGATCGAGACCATCCTGGCTAACACGGTGAAATCCCCGTCTCTGACTAGAAAAAGTGCGCAAAACCTAGGCGGCGATGGCGGCGCCTGTAGTCCCAGCTACTGGGGCTGAGGCAGAAAATGCCAAAACCCCGAAGACACTTGCAGTGACTGAATCCGGCATCACGACAAGGAAGCGCAAAAACCCTGAAAAAAATAACAAACGATAATGGAAAGCCAACATAGATACCTCATTTATATAAGTTATATATAATATATATTTATATAAAGTTATATATAATATATAAATATATAAGTTTATATATATTTATAATTTACATATTAATTTATATATAAGTTTATATATTATATAAATTTATATATATAAAGTTCTGTGTGTGAATTATATCTATAAAGTGTGTTATACATATAAAGTTCTATGTGTGTGAACTATATATATAACACACACACACAGACACACTATATATATAAAGTATCTCTGTGTTTGTGTAATATATACGCGCATACTTTTTCTTCCCCATCTCTGATTTGAGTGTGTATGTGTATATATATATATATGATTTGAGTATATATATATAGTGTGCATATACACACACACCTTATTGAGATATAATCCACATACCATACAGTTCATATTTAAATGGTACTATTCAGTAGTTTTTAGTATCTATGACGTTTATTGTTTTGTTTATTTACTTTTTTGATATGGAGTCTCACTCTGTCACCCAGGTTGGAGTGCAGTGGCACGATCTCGACTCACTGCAGCCTCTGCCTCCTGGGTTCAAGTGATTCTCCTGACTCAGCCTCTCAAGTAGTTGGGAATACAGGCATGTGCAGTCACACCGGGCTTTTTTTTTTAGTAGATACAGGGGTTTCACCGTGTTGCCCAGGCTGGTCTTAAACTCCTGAGCTCAGGCGATCTGCCCACCTCGGCCTCCCGAAGTGCTAGGATTGCAGGCTCGAGTATATTCTCAGAGGTGTACAAACAAAATCACAATCAATTTTAGCACATTTCATTGCCCAAAAAATAAACCTTCTACCCATTAGCAGTTACTCCCCATTTAACACTCAACATCAGCCCCAGCTCCAGGCAAGAGCAAATCTACTTCCTGTCTTATATTTTTCCTTTCTGGATATTTCATATGAGTAGAATCTTACAAAATATGCTGTTTTGCCACTGGCTGCTTTCACTTAGCATAGTGTTTTCAAGCTTCATCTATCTTGTAGCATGCATCAGTACTTCATTTCCTTTTATTGAATAATATTCCATTGTATGGCTACATCACATTTTTAATCAGTTGTTCAGTTGATAAACATTTGAGTTGATTCCACTTTTCGACTATTATAAGTAATGCTGTTATGAATATTTATACACAAATTTTTGCGAGCACTTGTATTTCTATTCCTATTGAGAATAGATATTTAGAAGTGGAATTACTGATATATAAGGTAACTATATTTTTAATTTCTGCAGAATTGCCAGACTTTTCCAAAGTGATTGAATCATTTTATATTCCCACCAGCAGTGTATGAGAGTTCCAATTTTGTACATCTTCTCCAACACATTTATTGTTATTTGTCTTTTTGATTATAGCCATTCTAGTATGCACAGTGGTTTCACTGTAATTTTGATTTATATTACTCTGATGGTTACTATTGTGGGGCACTTTTTTAGTTGCTTTTTGACTCGTATATCTCATTGGGGAAATATTTATTCAGATCTTTTGCCTATTTTAAAATTTGATATATATCTACTTTTTTATTGAGTTGTAAGTTATGTGTATATTTTAGATACAAATCCCTTAGCAGATACAAGATTTGCAAATATTTTCTGCCATTCTGTTGTGTTTTTCACTTTTGGGATGGTGTCCTTTGGAGCACAAGATGATACCTACGTTTACAAGTTGCATTTTATACACGATCTATGTATGAATATAAGATGCTAAGGGAGTGAAATATTTCTCCTATAGAATTGAGAGGTGAGAACTAAGAATTTTATGGCATTCGAGTCAGAATACAAAAGTTAATAGTTGTTCGTCACAAAACATGGATGTAATAACCTTCAAAATTAATATAGTATAATCCATTATGGCTAAAGTGTAGAATGATATTTCAAACCTAAAAATGTATGTATATGTTTATGATTAATATATGATACAGTAAATATAGATGTGTGTATATATATATCACACATACACATGTATACACACACACAAACATATTAGTTGACCATAGACGCACATAGTATTAATTGAGAATTAGCTGACACAAAGAGACAAAGGACTAAAAACACACAGCAAGAAGCCTTATATGTCACTGCTAGAGATCATCTCACTAGGTGTCTTTGTCAAGACCAACACAATTTTATGGAGTCAAGAAAGCTGTTTACTAAAGTGAATTTATTTGCTTGTTTTCTAGGTTTAAGTAACAGCTTTTCTTTCCCAGCTCGGATTTATTTGAGTTCAAGGACTTCAGTATTCAATTTGAAGGAGTGGAAATAAACCAGGAAAGAATAAGGAGCAAGAAAGCCTCGATTTCTTATCCTTTTAAGGTACCTTTATTCTGTTAGCTTTATTATTAAGCCTCGATTTCTTATCCTTTTAAGGTACCTTTATTCTGTTAGCTTTATTATTAAGCCTCGATTTCTTATCCTTTTAAGGTACCTTTATTCTGTTAGCTTTATTATTATTAGAGGCATGTGGATCTAAATTTGCCTAATAATGTAGTTAGGTGCCAGCTAATTGTCAGATACTACTACCTTGAATTAATTGCTTCTAATACTGATTGATATTCAGCTTACAGAAAGAAATATGTAAAGAAGTATATGTCATCCATTATTTTTCTCATATATTATAAAATATATAATTTGATTAACTCCTACTAATCAAGATCAGGTTATCCAGACTATAATTGATTGGCAGGTACATATTTTTTTTAACTGAATTGTATCTTTGAAGTATCATGCCTACATTGAGGGTTATTATAAGACAGGCCTAATATGTGTGTCTGTGTTCTGGAAAGAGCTTTAAGTAGGGATGTGCTGGTCAACATTTGACAACTAGTTTTCTAGGGGACAAAAATCCCTTCTATGTAGCATTTGCCAATTCCCATGGTGTAAATTCTTCCCCAGTGGCTGATATCAAAATATCAATGTGACCTCACCGGACTCAAAGTTGAGAAGACATGCTCACAAATGTATCACATTGCATGGTTAAAGCTAGAGCAAATCAGCTCCTGAATATCATTACCTGCAGAAGTGAGCATACTTCTCGAGAATGATGCCTTCTTTTACCTCGTGGATAAGAGCAACTTGCATCCTGGATCAAATTTTAGTTACCGTGTTTGTGCTACAAAGCTTAGAGCCAAACTAAAAGCTAATTTAAATTAATGTATGTATTATTTAAAATAATGTATGTTTTCAAGTTTTTGCTGAGTCATTTCTAGGTCTATTTGAACTTAACTCAATCCTTGTTTTATTTTTTCAGTTTTGTTTTGTTTTCAGAGACAGGGTCTCACTCGGTAGCCCAGGCTGGAGTACAGTGGCATGAACATGTCTCACTCCAACTTCAAGCTCCTGGGCTTGAGCAATCCTCCTCCCTCAGTCTCCCCAGTAGCTGGGACTATAGTTGTGCCCCACTGTGCCTGGCCTTGTTTTTATTTCTTTTATTTGTATTTTTAAAGTTCATTCCATCTTTTAAAATTTATAAGCTATATCAGTTATTTTCTGGAATGAGTCATAATAGACTTAAAGAAATAAATGAATAATCCTCGGACAATTTCAGACACAGAGTGGGAATTAAAAATGAAGGACTAAAATATCTCATGGCTGAAAATGAAAGAAAAAGAGGTTGCATCTTAACTCCACTTCCACCTAGGCAGGAGCAGTTTGCTGCCCTCTCTGGCCCTCAGTATTCTTATCTATGTAGTTAGGTATGTCAGGAAAAGCTCTTATTCAAATTATCCATAATTTTGTCACTTCAAAAGCCACTGGTTCATTGTAAAACTAGATTGCACTGATATTTAACACCGTTTAAATAAACTATGTAGTTTCATGCTATGTTCAAATGATTTTAATATACTCAATTTTAACTTTTGCAGACTGCTATTGGCTCATTGGTGTTGACAGGCAAACTTGTAGGTACATATTATTAGCTCTTCATAAAATGACATTTCATCTGTAGGCAGAGTAAAAAATTTTGAATTCTATGCATGAAAAGATTGATAGCTGGCACAATTATTAATTTCTGCAGGCTTCCTGTTGGTGGTATATGATTTGGAAAAGACATTTGCATTTACACTCTAATAAAAAAATGATTCTATCCTGTCGGTTAATTTTGGAAAGCAAAGTACTTTAAGCAACTCTACTTGAATAGTCCTAGTTCCCAGGGACATGTTAGCAATTCATATAAGCAGATGGCTATGGCATGGCAAGAAGTGTTCTGGGGTTGTCAGAACTTGTACTTGAATTACAGCTATGCTTTCATCACCACTTGACCTTGGAGAAGGTATGAAATAATCTAAACCTTATTTTTATGTTGTAAAATGGGTAAATCCATTCAATTTTCAGGACTGATTCGGAGATCAAATGAATGAATAGAGTTAATATTCTTAGCATACTTCTAACTTGGCAAATGCAGATACTTGTGACAATTCTCTCACTGGTCTTTTCATAGGTTCTTTAGTGCACAATTGCTCAGTCATATTCAAGGGCTTATCTTAAATCAAATGGCAAGGAAATCAAGTGTTTCTTCCCAAATTCCTCAGTGCATGACTTATTTCACTAGAAGAAATTTAGGTAAAATATTCCAGTGATGGGTATTTCAATGAGGAAAAAACATCAAATAATTGTTATAATAGACAAGGCCTACAAATATTCTAAATTAAAAAGGTTGCTTAGTTCTGTTTTTTCCTACTGCTTAACTACATGAATATCACATTTTTAATAATCTCACTTCTGGAAAATATAGTGACCTACTTCAAAATTTGGAAATAATTGCCTTACATTCTGATTCCATATTGTAAGAAGACATAATATAGATGTTCTTAGAAGTTAGATACAAGGAAAAAAGAATGAAAGACAATCCTTTATAATTTTGTGTGAATCATATGTTCAAAATTGTTCAAAATAAATCTTACTGTGGAAGATACTGTCATCACCTTATTTTAAAAATGTGTTGAAGAAGGAAAGTGTCAGATAGTGAACTTGTGATAATATCATTTAAATGCATTTATAGGGCATAAAATACACCTAATTAAAAAAGTAAAGTTACCGGATTTTTACTTTTAATTAGAAGCAGTTGAATTTAAATTCCAGGTAAAGAAAGCATAAACACTGCAATGTTTGTCAGTTAAAAGACCATGATAATTAAGCTTGAAATTGATTTCCCATATGTCTGTTTCAAAACATACAACTTAGAAATTACCATGAACTATGTAGTGTGTGTGTTGGGGGTGGAGGAGGGACACTGGGAAAAGGATGGACTGTGGAATAATATTAAAACACAATAGGGCCGAACACGGTGACTCATACCTGTAATCCCAGCACTCAGGGAGGCTGAGGCAGGCGGATCACCTGGGGTCAGGAGTTCGAGATGAGCCTGACCAACATGGAGAAATTCCGTCTCTACTGAAAATACAAAATTAGCCAGGCCTGGTGGCACATACCTGTAATCCCAGCTAGTCAGGAGGCTGAGGCAGGAGAATCGCTTGAACCGGGGAGGCGAAGGTTGCAGTGAGCCGTGATCGTGACATTGCACTCCAGCCTGGGCAACAAGAGTGAAATTTCGTCTAAAAAACAAACAAAAAACAATAAAGTATCTTTTTTAAAAATATAAATAAAATTTATGAATATAGAGGGCTAATTACCTTTATCTTGCAGTATAATGTATGTTAGCATATAAGACGACATTTACATATGGACTTTATAGCTCATAATTATTATTACTAATAGTATATAGTAACATCTATACATTATTAATGCAAAATAGATTCTGTTTTAAAACTCTCAATAGCCAGTATGTCAGTTTCCAAATACATATTCATATATTTGATCTCTGATTTTCAACCTGAGTGTTGAAGTACCCTTCAATGTGTAGAGAAAGGAACAAAATTACTCCCATCTCTCCCATGTTCTTAATTTTAATTGAGCCTCTGGTCAGATACCAGTCTACTGGTACTTTAGGTTATGGGGTGCCTGGGGTATTACCTGGTTTATTTCAACTAAGAACACATATCATGCTGTATCTCCCACGTACCCAGGAACGCAGCTGGGAATGCAGGGGAACTATGTGTTCCCTTGTGGGTCTCTGCATCCTTCCCCTCTACCATTTCAGAACTGCATGAACTCAGCAGCTTCGCTCCTGGGACTACTAACTACTCTGACTGATACTTAATTTGTTGTTTTCTTCTAAGGCAATTACACCAGTAATTTCTGTCACCTAAATTTTTTTTTAAAGCTTAAAGAAGACAGCACTTTCCTTTTCTTATCACTGTGACAATGTCTGTAAGATCCATTTGCAAGCTGTACAAAGGCAAAAAGATATCACTATTAAATGTTTATACCATATAGCCCAAAATGTGTATGTAACTTTATGTACAAATGTGTTTATTATTTGATGAGCTTGTCTCAGTGCCAGCTGTCACTAAAAGAACCAGAAAAGAGGAAATAGTGGGTAGGATACAATTGAGGGCTTCACATTTAACGATCGTTCCTATCTGCTTTCAGAACAACTTTTCTCAAAGAGGATGTGGGGATTAGAAAATAACCGGCAAATTTATTCTTGTAAAATAGTTTCTTTTTTGTTTGTCTGTTTGATCACAAACAAGAGCATGGCATGTGAAATACCTTCTACCAGTGGTTACGTAATTAAATAGTCAGCTATTCAAAAAAGTATGAAATATTGATTTGAAAGACACTTTTCACCAAGCACTGTTCTAGACATGAGAAAGATGGTAAAAAAGTAATGTAGACACATGTTCTGCTTTCATAGAGTTAACATTGTAATGGGATATACAGCTATGCAGCTGAACTTTGGACTAAGATGAACTTTCTACAGTATGCCCCATGCTGAATTTAAGTACTTTTGACCTGACTGAGCAGTATGTTTAGTTAAAACTCTGTGATATGGTTTGGATTCGTGTCTCCACCCAAATCTCATGTCGAATTGTAATCCTCAATGTTGGAGGAGGGAGTTGGTGGGAGGTGACTAGATCATGGGGGTGGATTACCCCATTGCTGTCCTGTGATAGTGACTGAGTTCTCATGAGATCTGGTGTCTCTTTCTTCCTCCTGCTGCTGCCATATAAGACATACCTCCTTCCTGTTCGCTTTCCCCGTGATTGTAAGAACTGATGGCAATCCTACTCAAACTATTCGGAAAAATAGAGGAGGAAGGAATACCTCCAAATTCATTCTAAAAGGCCAGTATTACCCTGATACCAAAACTAGACAAACATAAAAAAGGAAAACTACAGGCAAATATATCTGATAAGCATTGATGCAAAAATCCTCAACAAAATACTAGCAAACTGAATTCATAGACATATTGGAAAGGTCATTTATCATGACCAAGTGGGATTTATATCTATGATACAAGGATGGTTCAACATACATAAATCAGTGTTATACATCATATCACCAGAATGAAGGATAAAAACCATATGATTATTTCAATTGCTGCTGAAATAATGTTGGATAAAATTCAATATCCCTTCATGATAAAAAACCCTCCAAAAACTAGGTATAAAGGGAAAATATTTCAACATAATAAAATCCACTTATGACAGACCCACAGCTGGCATCATACTGAATGGAGAGAAACTGAAAGCCTTTCTTCTAAGATCTGAAACATGACAAAGATGCCCACTTTCAACTGTTATTCAACATAGTACTGGAATTTCTATCTAAAGGAATCAGACAAGAGAAAGAAATAAAGGACATCCAAATTGGAAAGGAAGAAGTCAAATTACCCTTTCTTGGAAATGATATGATCTTATGTTTGGAAAAACCTAAACTTCATAAGAAACATATTGGAGCTGATAAACATATTCAGTAAATTTGCAGGATACAAAATCAACATAGACAAATCAGTAGCATTTCTATATGCCAACAGTGATCAATCTGAAAAAGAAATAAAAAACATAATCCCATTTACAATAGCCACAATTAAAATTAAATGCCTAGAAGTCATTTTAAACAAAGGGTGAAAGATCTCTGTAATGAAAACCAGAAAACAGTGATGAAAGAAATTGAAGAGGACACCAGAAACTGACATAGATTCCATGTTCATGGATTAGAAGCATCAATATTGTTAAAATATCCAGAGGCTGAGAAGGATAGTAGGGGGTTTGGGAGGTGGTAGGGATGGTTGATGGATACAAAAAAAAAAAAAAAATAGAAAGAATGAATGAAACCTAAGATTTGACAGCAAAACAGGATATCTGTAGTCAATATTAAATTCTATATTAAAAAATAACTAAAAGAGTTTAATTGGATTGTTTGTAATGCAAAGGAAAAATGCTTAAAGAGATGGGTA